GTGGTACTGCTTTTTAATTTTAGAAAGTGCAAATCTGCTTATGAATTATAAAAAATAGTAAGACAGCTAAAGCGCAAATGAAATGTTTAGTTCTGCAAGTAGCGGTTTTGTGCTTTAGTGGGCTGGTGCCCACCACTGAGGGTGAACATATGTTTTATGCAAACAAACATAAATAAAGAGAAAAAACAAACAAGCTCAAGAAGAAGAGAAAAATGGAGCAAAGGAATGTAATAAAAAAGATGTAAACATGGTTTGGCTCAGGTGATGGAGAGCTAGCAGAGCTAAAACTAATGACAGAGCTGATTTGACTTTTTGTTTTGGATGACGTTTCTAAATTTAACCTCACAATTGTTTGCAGACTCAGGAGGAACACCATCCCACCCTCACATAGAGCAGACACGAACATCAGGGTCCTATTGGGTTTGGGCATACATTAGGCAGTTTGGGCTGCCAGCATTACATCATTACATACCTATTCTGATTTAACAATCCAATAAAGTCATTCGCTGCTCTGGCAAAAACACTGTACTCCATCTGGAGTAATTAGGTTAGAGGAGATTGGAGGGGGATCATACGGGGCTGTTTATAACTGCCATGTAGTAATCTCATGATGGGAAAATGAGCTGCATGCTTTTGGTCAATCATAATGTAAACATGGCTCAGATGAGCTGATGTAAAAGATCTTTTTTTTTCAGCACTGAGGTTACATTATACAAGGCTTTGTGCTCATTATTCTTTAGGGAGGTGAATGAATGTTTCTGTTTTCACCATGTGACAGCCCTGAAACATTCAGGGGAACTTCCAGAGAGGCTGCATGTGAGAAGACACGTCAGTCTGAACAGAGCAGGTAAATATCTGCAGACCTCACAACGATGCCATGTTGGCAGTCAGTGCTGCTTCTGACATACTCCACTCATTCATCAATGTTAGGGCGACATCAACACTCAAAACTGCCTAAAGATGACAAAAAAGCCTTATTTTTGGTTTTATATGATGTTTAACATTAGGTCCTCTGCCCCTTGCCTAAAGAAGTGTGTCTTTCATTAAAAGCCTCTTGCTGTGAGAAATGAACAGTTAAGATAGTGGAACACCCAGTTTAATCTGTACAGACTGTGGTAAAGGACACTACTATTGGGCTTTTACTGGTCAGAGTGACCAAACAGAAAAGGTGTATCCGCTGGTATCCTACACAGGGTTCCTTCACCTTGGTCAACATCAAATTCAAGGACCTTTCAAGGACTTTCCAGTACCAATTTCCTTAAATTCAAGAACCACGCTGGACGGCAACCTGCTACCGCAGTATGTCACCAATAAACAGTTTTAATATCATGTAAATTCAAATAAAAACTGGGAATCGATGAAAGAAAGTAGGTTAAATRYATACCCTACATTCATATCTACAAGCTCAGAAAGAACGACCCGCCCTGCTCTGCTCTGATTGGGTAAAGTTATGACTATGACTCACGTTRTTTGTTGAAAGTCACGTCAGTTTACCATAATCCTGAGTTATCCACTGCAACAAATGTAAATTTATTTWTTTATTTTTATTTTTCAGATAATGAAAATCACATGTGTGAATAGAGAACTTCAATCCCCAAAAAACATTCAAGGACTTTCAAGGACAAGTGAATTTTTTTGGCTGTTTTCACAAACTTTCCAGGGCATTGAAATCTCTCTTTTTTATTCACAAACTTTCAAGGATTACAAGGACCCCATGGGAACCCTGCCTACAGTTGTACTTAACAAAAAAAAGAAGTAACGGACGACAACGGCACAACAGCCCTGTCATAAACGTCTTTTTTGTAAAAACACTGTCCTGATCTACGTTGTTCCACCCAAACAGCTGCAGATCAGCCGTGCTTCGTGGGAAAAGTTCAAGCGTTGCATTGTTTGATTTTGGGGTAAATTCGGTGTAACATTCACTCCTGGGAAGATTGGCTTGTGAACRTTTTCTACGGTGACTCAAACAGGTCAACTGAATGTAAAAGTTACAACACAACAACGAAAGGCACAGTGAAAGTTAGACTAAAACAGAAGCCAGCTGGTGGCAGGTGTAACGCAGAGGGCTGCTGTCCTGCAKGTTTTTCTTGTTTCTCTGATCCAACACACCTGATTCAGTGATTCATTTACCTCTTCAGTTTATCATCCATTCATGTAAACCAGGTGTGTTTGAGCAGGAAAACAAGAAAACGTGCAGGACAGTTGCCCTCAACGACTGGAGTTCGACACCTGTTGTTGAAGAAGACCAARGACAACAGTAACGAAAGTAAAACCTTCACATTGTTCAGTTAATGTGGATATGTGCTGTTATAAACATGAATGCTTTGTGTTGAGTTTTATGGGTTACATGGAAATAATACAGTGCTGCTTTAACAAGTTTTAACAACTCTTTAAAGGGGACATATCAGGCAAAATCCATTTTTTTATCTGTTAAAAGCATTTTTTTTGGTATACTTGGAGTATCTAGAGTGCAGAAAACCTTAGTCTCTTCAAGAGCTGCGTAGATATTTTATTCAGTTTGAGTCATATTTTTCAGCCTGTTCAGTTTTCTCTKTTTTCTGTGACGTTTTCTGAATTATTATGTCACAATAAGGTCTGGATTCACCAAGTAAAACTGAATCATTTTCATTCTCTTCTGGCTCCAACATGTAAGGCTGGATGGACAAGTCTTCCCTCTATCAAACCAGAAAGGACCAGTCTGGAAGCTGCAGGAAGATGGGGTTTGAAACGCCTCGTGTGGATTTAAAGAGACAGCCTCAAAATGAGTTGATATGAGAAACACGTCAGAAAAGGGGTGGTTCTTGAGTTACAATAAGGAGGAATTTAGACTCTATGCATGATGATCATTTTTGTCATTATGTTACAGTTCATTCATTTTTACTTTATTTAGTCTGGTGTTAGCTCTCATCATTTAGGACTGTTAATTTCTTTTATATTTAAAATATATATACTTACTGGTGTGTAGTGGCCAAATTACCACCTTAAAGGGTCWCTAAAGTTTGATTTAGCAGCATTGAATTAATCACGTGTAACTCCTGAGGCTCAGCACAGTAAAAACATTTATTTTATAACATCACGTAGTTTTCCACTCACAGCACAGTGATAGACTCTTAAAACCTTTGATTTTTAAAACCTCTAAACTTGATTAAATGTGGATCAACGTTGTCGTGTGATTACCTTCTAAAATTGTGAGGTTCTTCAGGTTCATGGAGTGCTCCCAGTCCTTCAGACGGAGGTCCTCTGTGATCGTGTTCAGGATTTCCATCTCATTCCTCAGCTGGGCCTCTGTGTGGATGTGCGTCACCCACAAACTGCTGGTGTCTTCTGTGATGTTGCTGATCTGGATCTGAGCAGAATTAACGACTCCTTTAGAACTCAGCACCACGTTTAAAGCTTTGTTTTGACCTGGGATGACTTTCAAACCTGCAARTCTTGAATTTTAAGGTGATGAACACTGATGTCATTGCTGACGGTGTGATTGACGGCTCCCACAGTCCAGTTGACCTCGTCCAGTTTCTCTTTCAGCAAGTTCAAATGCCCCGACGCTTCTCTGAAACACAAACAGAAGCAGGTGGGACTGTCATCTCTGACCACTACAACTCCACCGAGTGCAACAGAAAAACTACCTGAGCTGGGCGTCGTGGTCGCGAAGCAACCTGGACGTTCGGGTCACCTCCGTGCTCAGACTTGTCAGGTTTCGTCCAGCGTAACTGCTGAGCGAGGACAACCTGTGGTCCAGCTGGACCAGGTAATCCTCCGACTGGAGGGAGTTAGCCTGGATGCTCCTCAACTCCAACTCCAGGCCCTGCAAGCAGACAGATTCATCTGAGGAGGCACAATTAAGCCCCCGATTGGAAAAAACACTTTGATAGAGGCTGATTTTTTCAAAATGCATTGAGAATGACCAGGGCAGGCCCTCTTCATTTTGGCACACTAGGCAAGATTTCAGTTGGTGCCCCCTTGTGCAATTTCCTAAATCTCATTATGTTATTTTTCAGGGGATTCTGATGTTATCAGTCCATGAAATGGACGTTATTAGGTGTTATCAGTCCCATACAATGGCTTCAGAGGGTCCCTACTGTGCCTTCTGGGGTTCAGACTGTCCCGACAGTGCCCCCTAGTGGGTTAATATATYAATGACAATGAATGTGTAAATAATCAAAACATATTGTAATAAATGTTTTGTGTCTGTGTCGGTCTCCAGCTCTCTGACCCAACACTCTACCCATTGCCCTATTGAGAGGCTACAACATACAGTCATCGGAGGTTAGTGTTAACCATGTCATTTGCTCTAAAGTTAACCTTAGTGGCTTTTTGCCTCATAATAACCTGATTTTTTATGCCTCATATTAACCAGATAGTTGTTTCATGCCTCATATTAACCAGATAGTTGTTTCATGCCTCATATTAACCAGATAGTGGTTTTATTGCCTCATATTAACCAGCTGACAATCTGAAGCCATTCTATGGGACTGATAACAGCCTATTAACGTCCATTTCATGGATGAAAACATCCGAAGCGGGTGATATTTTTTATCTTCAGAAACCAGGTTGTCCAATTAAAATAGTTTGAAACAGAATACCAGAAGTCTACCTTATACCTTCCAACACCTGCTGACATCATGAGGACCACCTGTTCATGTTAACCAGCAGCTGTGGAGTGAAGCAGTTCAAGGRGGGACTCATCCAGATGATTTTGTAAAAGATTTACTCAAAACTCTGCATTTTCCAGCCCTTTGAAGAACATTTTACTAAATTATTGGGATTAATAATATATAAAGTCAGCATTTTAYGATATGAGAACACTGAAAACCAGACTTTAACCTGAACTTTATAAGGACAGAACTGAAACTTTCATTCTCCTTATTTTGTTTTCCATTTCCACACCGAGTTGCAGTAGTTAATCTACTCTTGACTGCATCATATGATACATTTATCATGAAATATCCTCTGCATCTGATGTCACACATCATCCAGGTTATGTGACTGCAACCCAGCAATTCTGCAKACTAAATCAACTATACTATGATAAAAAGTTAGAAACTATTTTTAGGGGCGACCCTTTGATGAACGGCGCCCTTAGTATTTGTCTATAATGCTTTGCTACGGGCCGACCCTGAGAATGACTGATAACACAGGGATGCAGTATTAAACAAACTGAACAATTTTTGAGCGTGTCTGAATTCAGGGGCTGGATCCTTGCTCGGACACATTTGTAGATGGATTACGTTAGAGCGCAGCGACTAGACCTGTCCATTTGTGTCTGAAGGCTCCTTCAGATCGACAAATGCATCCTTCCTTTGCTCTTGTTTGAAGGATTGGTGCGGTGCATCCTTTGCGGCTCACCCAATCCCATGATGCATTGTGGGTTGAAGACGGCAGGAACAATAGATTAGATTACAAAGATTACTAGATTATATCCAGGCAGTGGTGGCACCAGCCCGCTGAAGCGCAAATCCACTAATTGCGGACCTAAATATTTTCATAAGTACTTAGAAATTACGGAGCTAATTTTTGGATTAGCGCTGCCCACCACTGGTTATTTGTTCTTGAGCAAATCGGTTTGGCTGAGATTTAAGTTAAGCCTCCAAATGTAATAAATTTATTTAATTGTCATGTCTGACCTGAGAGCTGGAATAATAGGATATTTGAAAACAAATTAGCTTATTTGTATTCCTTGTTGTAGAAATGTATTGCACATTTTTTTATATTCAAACTGACTTTTTTATTCTGTAACAKCCTTTTCAACTCAAGAGGAGGAATTCACTTTTACATGTAAGTAAATCTTAATACAAAGCAGTACTGTTGTTGTTTGGCACAGAAATGGTTTAATATTTTCTGCACATGAATCTGATCACCAATAATACGTGACTTATCTCAGTTTAAATGTTAAACAAGACATGTTACTGTCAGACTGTTGATATGTCCATTTGTTTTAGGGAGCAAGGAGAATGATCACCTCTTCACTGGAGCCAAGAACTCAGCCACCACAGCTTGGAGGTACAATAACATCACTTCCAGCCAGCATCTCTCCACTTTTATTAACCCATATCCAACACAGAACCAGTGTTTAACATACCAGTATTGCTCCTCTTTATGTCAACAAATTATCTATAAATAACATGTTTGTTGTTTTTGTGGAAAGCTGTCCRTCCTGTTAAACTTTTTAAGTCGTCCTCAGTTTGGATGTAGGGATTTTCTGYATGTGCTAGGTCAATACTGGAGAAGATGGGACTGCAAGGAAAGCTCACCCTCTTGTAGGCGAAAAAAAGTGGGACAAAAAAATACAAAGTGTTATTTTTTTGTGCCACATTCATATAAACRTACATTTTATAAAGTTTTCTTTGTTACTGTTTTTGTCGAGTGTAACTTTTGGTTTCCTCCGCCTTTAGGATTGCAAGTATCCAGGGTAAAGTCAGACTGTGTGCAGTACCTTGGTGAGGACCTCCAGCCTCTGCAGCCAGCTGCTGTGATTCTGAAACAGGTTTTCTAGTTTCCAGATGTTTTCCAGCAGGTCGGCTTGAGCAGACACCCCGCCCAGGTTCTGCTGGAGCAGGTTGGAGTGAGCTGACGTCCGAGTCACGTTCTCCGTCAGCACCTCCTGACGCTGCGGGGGCGCCTGGGAGCGAGACACTGGGGAGGGGTGGAGAAAAGAAAAGAGTGAGTGCAGATCCCTCAGCTGCAGCAAAAGCCCCAAAATCAACTTTCAGTTGGTATGAATGGAAGCTGTGAGCGTGCAGCGAGCCCAGCACATGTTGATTCAGTCGCCTGCACTGATTCTGATTATCTGCTGGTGCTAAAAGTGCTGTTATTTCTAATCAAAACCTAAATGTTTTCATGAGTTTGGTAACACAGCTCAGCATGAAGCTGTCTGAGCTCAAACATCTGACTGTGGAAATTCATCCATCATCAGTGCACAACAAACAGACCAGCATTCCTTAAAGAAAGGCATGAAGCTGGCCTGACGATGAAATTTACTAAAACTCTGAGAAAGGAAGAAGGACGTACAAGTCATTAACAAACCCAGTTCAAGATGGCCGCCAAAGCTGATTGGCCTGGTCACAAAAAGTCTTGAGYTAAACTTGGTGTAGCTGAGAACCATCTGTCTTCACGTTAAACATCTGATTCAAGAGTCGTAATAAAATATAATAAATGTTTGTTGCACACACCTGCCTCCTTTATTTAGTCAATGTGCTTCTCAGGTTTCTAGAGCAGTGGTGGAGCCACAGGGGTGGTCAGACTGGGACCAGTACTCCCACAGGGGTGGTCAGACTGGGACCACTACTGACACAGGGGTGGTCAGACTGGGACCACTACTCCCACAGGGGTGGTCAGACTGGGACCACTACTCACACAGGGGTGGTCAGACTGGGACCACTACTGACACAGGGGTGGTCAGACTGGGACCACTGACCAGGAAAATTACATCATTTTTTACTTGAAATTTTCTACAGAATTTTACCCAATGAACAGGTGTAAAACTGATAATCACCAACAGTGAATTTAGAGGGGTGTTACACTTTTTATGATTCAGTGATAGGTCTACTCAGAACCAAAAGG